TTCTGAAAGTCAAGAAACATGGGACGATCCGAATCGGTCTCGACATAGGAGGCGGTGTTGGCACGTTTGCAGTAAGAATGAGAGAAAGGAATATAACAATAATAACAACTTCCATGAACTTGAATGGTCCTTTCAACAGTTTTATAGCATCAAGAGGTGTTGTACCTATGTATATAAGCATTTCTCAGAGACTTCCGTTCTTCGATAACACGTTAGATATAGTCCACTCGATGCATGTATTGAGTAACTGGTTACCGACAACATTGATGCATTTTTTGTTTTTCGATATATATCGGGTTCTTAGGCCTGGTGGGTTGTTTTGGCTTGATCATTTCTTCTGCAAAGGTGAGCAACTTGAAGAGGTTTACATACCACTTCTGGAAAGCATTGGATTCAACAAAGTGAAGTGGGTGGTAGGGAGGAAGTTGGACAGAGGTATAGAGCTACAGGAGATATATCTATCGGCATTGCTAGAGAAGCCACTAACCAACTCTTGGTAGTAAACTTCGGGTAGCTTAACCAGTCAGGCCTTGAGTTTGCTCCCCGGTGGTCACCATTTCGAGTCCCCTCAAGACCACAGGAGGTAGGGGTGCACAAAAACCCAATCAACCTGGTCAACCCAACCTGATCCACCGGATGTCTAATTGAGTTGTAAATTTTTCAAACCGTATAAGTATTGGGTTGGAATTGGGTTAGGCCATTTCAACCCAACCCGATAAACCTGATACCCCCTATTCCTCGGATATAATATGATTGTCAAGTCCCTAATTAATATGTACATCACACATTAAGACCAACCCATAATTAGATCTTTTCATAAGTATATCACAATTCCACCCGGAATTTTACTTTCCTATTTGCATTAATCTTCATTCATCTTGATGCTCGTCTGGCTTTTCTTTGTTCCACATGTACGCATAAAAGGTCAATCAACTCGTAGTAGTGACTAATGGTTGTTTAAGTATGCTGATCCAGTGATGCTGTTACGTCACAACCCGACCAACCTAACCCGTACAGGTTGGGTTGGGTTAGGGGATGCTTTAAAAGAAACTTGACAGACTCAGATTAAAAAACCTTCAAACCAGCCAAACGAAACCCATGTGCTGCCCTAGCCGGAGGTTTTCCTGGCTGTTAACTTAGGTCCCACGGGATTTGCCTGAGGTGCGTGCAAGCTAGCCCGGACCCCTATGGTTATAAAAAAAAGGAAAATACTCTTGATAGTACTGGTAGTCATTCCGTTTCCCAAGTATTTTTGCACAATGGGACGAGATTAAACTTTTCCTGAACACCCCAACAAAATATTTCCAAAGACATCGCAAGGATTGATTTCACTTGTGAACTTTGTTAACCATTAGATATACTTGCAAACAAATAATATTACCTGAAGCTTGTCTGGATGCAGTTCTCTTACATCTTTCATCCCATATAGATCAAACAAACCCTGGCGGAGGATATGAGAGCACTTCCATAACTGGTCGACAATATTTTCAGCCTATAATTCAGATCACCCACAAGATTACTAGCTGATAGCATCACGATTATAAACTCCTACCACCCATCACACGTCCACCGACTATAGGATAACAGAAAATACTGAACAAAAAGAGGCCAGAAAATCCAACATGTTACTTAGAACTTCATAATTTAAATAAGATTATTAGAAGTCATGATTGGAGTTGTAATATCATCCTTCTTTGCATTGGACATAGGTTTGTTCCATCTTTTCATCTTTACTTCATTTTGGCTCCAAGCGTTATTGTTAACACAACTTTGGCAAACCCTGATTTGTTTCCGCCCCAAGATTCTTTGTTTTCCCGTCTAGAAACTTGTTCTTTAGATGAAAACCAAACAAAAAGAACCCAATATATCCCACCAGAGGTGGGGTCTGGGAGTGTAAGATGTAAGCAAAGCTGACCTCTACCCAAAAGGTAAAGCAGTTGTTTCTGCAAAGACCCTTGGTTTGTCCTTTAGATGGTGCCACCATAAACACTAGGAGGGTTCCATGTTCCTCATTTTCCATCACAAAATCTGAATCACAATGGTCAATTGTTATTCTGTGCAAGTAAATAGGATGCACTGTTATGTCTGGAATAATTTAAGGGGAATATCAATATTTTTCAAAACTACAAAAGGTACATTAGCATTCATAGAAACTTCTGAAAGTTCAGGGACAATTTTTCTACCTTTTTGAAGTTCAGTTTTTGGTTTATCATTAAAAGGATCATTTTCCTATTTTGAAGGGTTCTCTTTTTTCCATTTGGCTGGGGGGAGGGGCGGAGGATTTTGGACATGATCACAAAATCATTTATGCAAGATTCAAAATTTCAAAGGGTGCTCTATCTTTACTCCAATATTCCTCCGGTGGTCTCAATTGGTTCTCATGGTTATTTGTGTAAGGGGAAAGATAGGGCACATCATAGGAAAAGCCAAGATGCCCAATCCTGATGACTGCAAGCATCAAACTTGAGAATCAAACAGTTCAATTATCATGGTGTGGCTGATAAAATAAATGTAGGTTCATATCATCTTTTTTTTTCTTTCCAGAACTGCAAAGGCAATGTGTTTAGGAAAAGTACTTGGATTTGGAGTACGTGTTATAGATATTTGAAATCAAAACGGAAAAATCATATACACGCTTGCTCTCTATTTTCTTACACCTCGTAGACCTCCCCTCCAAACATATCTAGATGTCTGAACATGTTCGTTAGATCTAGCACTACAAGGTATTCAATTCTACCTCCATTCTCCACATCGTAGCAAATGACCCTAAATCACTCAAATGCATCTTCCTACAGATACTCCTCAAAGCAAACAGGTTAAAAGTGTTATCATCATCCAACCAAGAAAATGCATATCTCTGTGGATGTCACATTTTTTGAGAATCAACCATATTATGGTGAATAAAAGACTTAGGGGGAAAACCTGAAAGCATTTTTTGGAACTCTCCAAAACACTAAAGTAATGTCACCTAATCCATTCACTTCAAGTCCAAATCAAACTCAAAAGTCCTGAGCCCAGAATACCAAATCAATATGTTCAAACGATAACTGCACGAGAAACAGAAACACATCCCCCAAATCAGCCTGCTGAAAGTGAATCGCAACCCAAAGCGGTGCCTGAATCAAATGCCTGAATCCAATCTCAATCCCAATGTTCAAAATATGAACTGTCAATCAAGATTCTGATACAGTACCCTCAAATTACAATGGTAAGACATTTAACACCCCTATTGATGGTTTCAGTTGTGCAAAGAAAGGGTGTCCAGGAATGAACGAAGCATCCTATCCTAATGCAACCTACTCCTTTCCTTTACAGGTTTTGTCTCTCATATGAGGTGTGCAAAACCCTAAAACTATTCATGAGGCTTTCATGTATCCAAAGTGGAAAAGGGATGCAGAAAAAGAAATCCATGCACTAGAAAGCAACATCACATGGGTTTTCACTGAATGGCCACCAGGAAAAAGTTCCGCAGGATACAATTGAATTTTTATAGTAACATATCAGGGAGATGAAAGTGTTGGTAGATAAAAGGCAAGACTCGTTGCTAAAGGGTTCACACAAGCCTACAGTATAGATTACCAACAAACTTATCCTCCAGACGCAAAACTCAACACAATCCAGGTTCTCCTCTTTCTAGCCGTGAATTTAGATTGCTTGATGTTAAAAATGCATTCCTCAAAGGTATCTCAAGAAGGAAGTGTATATGCAAATTCCACCTGGATTGCAGAACAAATCGAACAATGTAGCTTGCAAACTAAGAAAGTCACTATACGGCCTAAAACAGTCTCCACATGCATGCTTTGACAGATTTGCAAAATCAATTGTTAAAAGTGGCTACCATCCGTGTCAGACTGACAGATGATGAGAAAGAAATTCTCAAACTTAAAAGATGCTAGCCATAGAGTTCAAGATCAAAGACGAGCAAATCTCAAATATTTCCTAGGGAATGGAAGTTGCTCGGTCAATAGAAGATATTGTAATTTTGTGGTAGTTTCCTATGACTATAGTATCTCCTCATGTATAAATTGAGGTTGTACAAGTAGACAAAAATAAAGAAATCATTCTCCTTCAGTAAATCCTATAGACACAATGGTGATGTTCGTTTATCTATTTTTCCAATAAGAGTCCATAATCCATGATAACAAATAAACATATCTTATCTTAGTGAAACAATTAAAAAAACTGAAAATACAGTAAGCCTCGTACCATGCTTTAGATAAATAGTTCTCTTTTTTCTTTTGAATTCAGGGAACATCAAGATACTTTAGATAATTTCTTGCAAGAATGCAATAATTTCTACATTGTGTAGGTTCTGTAGACGGACCAACTTGCTTTAGTTTGAATAGTTTAAAAATGCTCTACTGTTGCAAGATTTGGCAAGGGCCAAAACATCACAACTCTACCAGGCACCAGCACATAGGCAGTTCAATAGTTCAAATCCATAAGCTTGAAAATAACTTTACCTCTATATTAAGGCTTGTCCTTCGTCTTTAGTCATCTTGTCCCCAAAAGGAACTAAGAAACTAATCCCCTAGATGCACCCAATAGGAGTAGTCATCAGCATCACAGGAATCACAATACAAATCTTGAGATCAACCTAGATTTGATGAACAGATAATATAAATTATACAAGAAGCCACCTGAGTCTTATAATTTGTCTCACAAGTTTTATGGTTCATTCAACTGTCATGATTTAGAAGTTGAGTAGATACGTTCCGCTTTAAACTTCTTGCAAATACTCTTGCGTTAAACATTTTGTTGATTTATAATTTGTCTCTTGCTTGCTTGTTCTTTTGGGACTTCTGACTTTTTATACTTTAAATGATGAATATGTAGTTTCCCTGGATAGAGACAGGTATATGTTGATATTTTGGCTATGCATTCTAAATGATCAGGTTTGGTGCTCAGACATGTCTATTTCACCGAGCCTCTTTCCGAGAGAGAGTTGTGATACCTGTCTCTATCCAGGGAAACTACAGGATCTAAAGAACAAGATGAAATAACGCTTTTGTGGAACGCCTTCTGGCGAGGCTTTGAGATTAACCCAATGTCATGAAAGAAGTAATTAAAGGTAAGCCCCGGGTCAACCCGCGCTGTGTATTCATTTTATGGAAATATAGTAATATACTAAAAGATCCATTTTAAGAAACTTTTTTGATTATATCCAAGAACACTTGGGTATTAATGGGAAATCAACTATCGCTGTCCCAAAAATAAATGAGCATAGTTCATTGCGAGTGAATGACAATTATTCAAATGTCTAAGTTACCCCACAATATGGACAAAATAAAGAAATGTTGTGAACCAAAACTGATGCTGTCGATATTTTATAATTTGATATAACGAACATAAATATAGTTTCAGATTCGAAGTTTGCAGTAAAAATGGAAATGCTGCATTTTATTTTTTGACATCCCTAAAGGAAATTGTTGCATTTATGATGGGACATAGGGAGTAATTCACAATTTGGGCGGTGATACTTCCTTGTTAAATCAATTTGATAATCATGAGTATCAAGCTAGGCAACAAAGTAAAGACATCTACGAATGGAGATAATGTTCAGTTAAGGCATCCTATGCTTCCAAACACTGGAAACAACAAAAATCAGAAAGCCTTGTATGTTCTAGAAGTAATTTCAAAAGAAAGCATGTCAATGGCTTGCCTTAGTCAGTTCACAAGTTGGCAGGATGCAATACAAAAGCAGATACTAGCATAAAGGAAGCCAGATACCCATGGTTGCATACTGCGGTGTGGTGTGGTGTGGTTGGTGCAATTTATGTGGTTTGTACCTAGAGCACTTCAATCCAATAATTATAAAATCATAAGTCCAAAATAAATACAATGATGCAAATCCTTACAAAAATAAGTTCCAATATGGTTCAAAACAAACTAAAGAGTTTCATAATTAATCCAAACGAAACAAAAAAATTCCAATCCACGTTATCTTTCATCTTGAGTCTCGACTCGTGATATATATATATAGACTTGGGATCACGTGAGACCAGCCTGTTTTCGTGAGACCCATGAGACCAGCCTTTTACACTTGAAACTTCACAGCAAAATGCTGTGAAGGTAACCTTCACAGTGTTTTTGCTTTGAAGGTTCGACTTTTTTAAACCTTCACAGTGTTTTTGCTGTGAAGTTTCAAGTGTAAAAATATGGTCTCACGGGTCTCACGAAAACAGGTTGGTCTCGCGTGAACCCAACCCTATATATATATATACACAATGAATACTACATTAATTCAATTAAAGATTACAACCCTATATAATATATAAGGGTTCAAATAGAAACGATAGGGGGTTGGAAACGTGGAAACACGAAAAACGGATGAAAAGTATAATGATATGAATGTCAAATTAAAGGGAATAAAGTGTTCATTTTTTTGCTATAACTGTATCGGTTGATTGGCTCCAATTTTGATTTATATTTCAAATTTCTTTTGGGAGGCAAGATATTTCTTTTAACCACCTTTTTGCAGTTTCCATTTGAACCTAAAAATTAGAGTTTTAACATTCCTTCGATCAAATCCATCTAACCGTTCAAATCTGTTCTTTTTTCACATTTCAACCTTTTTGCAGTTTCCATTTGAACCTCCCCGTATATGTGTGTGTATATATATATAGAGAGATATAGATATAGATATAGATATAAATAGGGTTGTGAGAAGAATTTTTGGCCATATGATCAATTTTAATAAAATCATACACGTCAAAATTTTGAGGCATCTACTTCCTTATTTAAGGGTAAATTGATCAAATATGTTATATTTCCTAATTAAATATATCTTTATTTATACAACTAAATTAATTACCCAAAACTCTTTAACACAAAAATATAGAAAATATAATAAAATATCCAGTCAAACAAATTATATCAATAAAACGAGCATTTTAAAGAGTTTGGGGTTATTAATTTAGTTTTAGAAATAAAGAGATATTCAATTAGAAAATATCCGTGCACCATATTTGACCAATTTACCCTTAAAATCCCTTAAATACAGAAGTACACACCTCCTTTTTTGGAACTCTAAATTAATTTATCAAAATTGGTCTAATGGTCAAAAATCCTTGCATTGACCATGTACCATAATTGCATGTGATTTTAGTGGAAAATCACATGAGATTTGGCTGTTCTCGTGTTCTCTTATTTTGACCCTATTCTCCTTTGATCCTCCCTATATATAGAATGCAAATCAAATACAAACCAATTTCAATTAAGATATTTATGGAAATGATGAAGGTTCATTTATTATGATTTGAATATTTATGGAAGATAATTAAAGGTCATTTATAATGATCAATGATTTATATTAGGAAACAATCAATATATTTATGAAACCAGATATTTGTTAGACTATATGGACGGTTGAGATAGGTTGTATGGTTTGTAACTTTTCCATGGTTTGCATTTGATTTGTCCTCTCTCTCTCTCTCTCTCTCTCTCTCTCTCTCTCTCTATATATATATATATATATGTGCATACGACAAATTAACTTCATGTTGCTATTACTAGATGTTATTACTTCATGTTCTCTTATTTTGACCCTATTCTCGACTTTTCCCTAATTCACTTCATGTTGCTATTACTAGATGTTATTCAATATATAATCCATTGTCCTAATCTATTAGGAAAGCTAGGGGTAGACCACATTATATATCAAATACAAGCATAGAACTAATTTTGCACCATTGTACAATAGTTTCTAGTAAATATATTTTGAGTTTAAAAACTAAAAGACTTTTTACAGCATGAAATATATAGTATATAGTCGAACAATAACAATAATACAACTATACATTTCCAAAGACAAAAACAGATGGTAATAATTAAAATAACTAACTATGAGTTCTATGACTTCAATTATTATTCGTCAACAACATATTTTCAGCATGCAACACATAAATAGAGACTACCACATAGGAATTAAGTTATACCTTCAATGATAAAGAGAAAAATTAACCATCTTCTGATAAGAACATATTAATTGCAGAAAGCCTCTTGACTCTTTTGTATGCATTGTAAGAGAACAATTCAATTTCCTTCTTTCCAAAATCAAAAATAAGAAACAGCAAATCATCAGTGAAGGGTAGAAATTACAGCAAAATTACAGTGTTATTGTCAACAAGGCATAATAATCATCTTAAACAACAAAAATATCATTTGAAAGGGATATGAACCTGGTGCTTAAAGGTTCGACTAGTCTCAAGTCCAGTTCCTGCTTTGTTATCACTAGCACTAGATGTCCGTTTAAGTCTTTATCCAAAAAAATGTCCATTTAAGTAATTGCATTTAGTCTCGACCTATTCAACCTATCAGGGAATCTAATGGATGGCGAAATAATGTGACAACAAACATTAAATTATTTGTAACTACGTATTTTATTTCTTGGATTCAAAATTTGAATTTCAAATTTCAAATCAAATAGTTTTTCAGTGGATATTGTGTTCAACAATAATAGAAATGCATTTACACATTTTCCAAAAATAAAAAATAAAGTAATATTCCCTCTTAATTCCATAAAAGTTGAAACAATTATCATTGCAATGTCCATATCATTTGTGAACTTTCTTCTTGGCAAAATTTAAAGCTACAATTACATATATGCCCATTTTCACCATTACAAAATATATCCACAAGGATCCCTACTTTGTCTTACGAAAGGGTATTATAGATATTTGATTAATGGTCTTTATTACCAAACGTGCCTAGTCAAATGAGAGTAAATGTTGGTCCTTTACAGGATTGAGGGAGTAAATGCTATTACCACTAAGTCCTCGACCAATTTTTTTCGCACTTTAATCCTTATAAGGAATCAAGCAGGCAAGTCGCTTTATAAGCTTAACCCGATCTTCCGGAGTCCTCCATACCTCCAAATAGCAAAAACTAGCTACCTCTTTTCTTTTTAGCCATCTTGAGAATTTCTCTGCAAGTTCTAGTTTCACTTGAAGATTTACAGGGAAGAAATCAAGGATGAACCCTAACGAGGTATACAAAAAGTTCACATTATGTAATTTTTATTAACAAATCTCTTGTTCTTTTTTCCTTATAAATTCTATCAAATATTTAGGCCTAAATATGTAGAAGACTTTTCAATTAAGTGTGATCGCTTTTGTCAACATCGATTATATATCTTGTGAAGGATTTATGATTGCAACAATGAAACTTGTTTATTAATTACCATACTTGACATGAACCCTATAAATATCTATGCTACTCTTAGACGTTTTAGGGTTAAGCTTTCATCTATAGATTGCTAATTTAGTGCAGGCTCCCATATATGCCACACCCATCCTTCATGGTGGCTTGGGAATTGTATACAAGACATTGGGAAAGTTTTAAGATGAAGGATCTAGTGTTTTGTTGTGTTTGTAAAATTCACCCTTATGTTTTCTTACATTATGTTGCAATTGTCAAGATATTTAATACTCTTGGGCCAGTTGGTAGCTATTATGCCAATTTTGTAAACTAACTAACTTCAAACTTCTATTAGTTCATACCATTTAATTTAACATAGATAAGTTTGATAATGGATAACACACTTGTGTATCACACACAAATTTCCAACTTCACTAACTCGGATATTAGGAGAAGAATAGGAGTTGAAAACTGGATGGGGACAACCACTTAAGGAAATGTGTTTTATGTTGTATTTAATGAGATATACCGTAATTAATAGATATTGGTGGGTTTAAATTGGTACTTTTCTAACTGATATTCTACTGTGTTAGCCACTATGACAATTTGCTTCTCGCTGAGAGCATTCAATATTATCAGTCTGATTTCTCCTAGGTACTTCATATTCATTGTTAGTGTTCTTCCCTTCAAAACCAAAAGTCTGTTTTCCCGTTAAGAGTGAATAAATTGTAATGGTTGACAATCTATATCTTCCTATAGGTTCATAAAAAGTATAGGAGGTTAAGCCATTTCACCCTATACATATATAAGAACTAGGATGAAGTTAATTTTGGGAATAACTTCTTCCTTACCCTGCTATATATTGCACGCTCATTTTCTTTTAAAAGGTTAAATAGTTTCCCGGGGATGCACCATGGTGTGGTTATCGTGCATTTCAAGGTGGTACCTCACCAAGTTAGATGGCCCAACAAGGAAGTATGACGTGCAACAGGAAGCCCCGGCGCAGTGAGTTTTAGTGTGGTGCAATGGTGCGGCACATTGATAAAATTCCAAAATCTGAGCCTACAGTAATGGAACAAAAATCTAATTATGATGCCTTTCAGGTGACCAACTGTTGAGTCAAGAATATGACGTTCATTACTTCGTATAATTTGCAGGACATGAGTCTTCAAAAGCAGTGATGAGAATAAATAAGCAGTAATAAGCTGCATGTATACACACATGAATATAAACACATGCACAATATTTCCATACATATATGTACACACCCATACAAGCATGCACATGTATACATATGATTTGAAATCCGCATAGCTAATTGCAAGGTAGTAAACTATGATGTTATTGGTGTCAGAAACCTCATGCAAGTGCTAGGAGACATAATTCTATTGCTAAGCCTTGGAACCAATAAGGACGTTCTAATTGTGAAGGGCACCAGTAAACCCACGTATAATAAAGCTGGAAAGTTTTGACATGGCTATTAGTGTGACACAAGTGTCAACAAATTCAGAAGTTATGTTTCTTTTACTTGTTATATTATTAATTTCTTTGACAACTGTTGTCAACGGATTGGGTAGTTTTTCCCCTTTCCTTAACCATTACAGGTTGTTACTCGAGCAATATATATATATATATATATATATATATATATGGAGTCAGAATCATTGGCTTGATCTGGAATCTCCAATTAATAAAAATTTTGTTTCTGTAGGAGCCTAGCCCAGTACAGTGGATCAACCAATTTCTGGCAGGGCTTTACTTTTCGCTTTGTAGAGCTCACGACTTCCGAAATAATGATAAGAATAATTTCTGCATTGACTGTGAGACGTTAGCATGCTACCACTGCATGTCAGACGGCACTCATGATCATCACAGGGTATTAAGGATTTACAGACTTGCTCACATGAACGTAGTCCCCCTAAATATTATAAATGAGCATCTCGACTGCTCAGGGATACAGGTATTTTCTCTCTATCACAAATGCAATCCTTGATATATGTGCAAGTAGCAAACATGCTTTCATATGCTTCCAGAAGTAGATGGACTTAGCCCTCTCTACAGTAGTTCCATATCTAAGCTCTATGCATGTCCCAAGAACAATGTAATGTACAGAGTCAGACTAGTAATTTTACTTTAGGATTTTTTCCAACTTCTTTTACCTAAACTTACCTGAGCAGTGGCTGTTACCCATATCTGATACCAGTCTTCTGATTTAAACCTATTTTCAAGCTCCTATTAGATCTTATATGCTTAATAGAGGAGAAAATTCAATAGCAATCATAGTGTGCAAACAGTATGTTGTTTCAGCTCATAAATGTAGGTCATCGTGTATGCATAGTTCAGTATCAATCCTAATAGCACGCAGACATCAAAAGTGTGCTTTTGCCCTGCATTACAACTAAATATGATAACATAATTAACATACTATTCTTTCATAAAAGATACTCTTATCAGTAAAAGTCAAGTACAAGTCCTTTGAGGAAAGAACTGATAATTAATTACCGAAAGAGGCTACTAAAGCTTAGTGAATAAGAATAGGAAAGTGTAGTCAAGAGAAATTCCCATATTATAATGCTAACAACCCTATGCAAGTCAGTATCGAAGATAATGTATCTTTGCCATGTCTAAATCTCACAATACCATTAAAAGAAAACCAAATACCAAAAATGGGCTATCTACAACCATGCCAAAAACCCTACATCCCATTATAAGCAATTACAAGTCAACGGATAATGCAAATAATAATAGGTAGGAACTTCCAAGCTACTTTTTAGCAATCTGCATGCCTCATCTAGAAGTATTTGATAAAATATAACCATTACCTCTATTGCCAAAATTCATAAATTATCTCTAATTGCTGCAGAACTCTTGGAACGTATTGCATTTCTCTTGCTCTAAATCATCAAGAATATCAGAAACTGGGATACAAATATTGCATTTCTCACGCTCTGAATCATCAAGAATATCAGAAACTGGGATGAGTAACAACTATATTCATAGTTTTCCTACAACTTGCAAAAATACAAAAACCCTAATTTCTTCAAGAACTAGATGGTCTGACAGATCACCATCTTAATCAAGAATATACATAAGTGGTAGATACAAAACAAAAATACATTCTAAGAGAAGTTTGACTTCAGCCTTAATATCCAAAATGACATCATTAGTAAGATAGCAATGGATTCTTTTTAAATTGAGTTTTCAAACTGTAAGGAATTTGTTTGTAATCTTCTGTAACGACATACCAAAATCAACAGAGAATGGAAAAAGGCACAGCACTCATAAAAATAGAAATAACCTTACTACACTTAATTCGTGATGCTTAAAAGTTTTTAAATTGAAACCAACCATTATGAAATATAGGTTGTCCACTTATACTTGGTTGATAATTTTCATTTTGCTGATACAAATCAAGAAATTTGGAAGAAATCAAGTCATATCATATAAGACCTGTGGCAAGGGTAGAAGGTGATCTCCTTCCATGAAGTTGAGGTTTAACGATCTCTCTGCTTTTACATTTTTCCCAACTGGGCATCTCTCTTACACTTTTGTTGGTCCAGCTCTCAGCCAACCACTTATTATTTTTCTTACAAAGACACTAACAAATCATAACAAACATCTCCTTCTTAACTGTTGCAGCCTTACATTTTGTCCTCCAACGCTCTCCATTGTCTCTTGCAAGAAACTTTAAAGATGAAAGATACATCACTTTGAAAAAAAAACAGATCAAATATCATAAGAATATCATATTATTGGCGACATGTAAAACATTGGTGTATATTATATTATCTTTCACATGTTTGTATAATCAAATTTCCACTTCTTTACTAGACATGTTCGAGTTTTGTAGAGTTGAACATGTGTGAAACAAGTTATACATGAAAATGACCTATCTATATAAACTCTTTTTAAGAATTAAAACCAAGTATATATGCATCTACGTTATCTTCAGTAATTTTTTTATTTGGATCTCTCTGTTTATTGAATTTACAAATATAGCTACTGGTAGTTGGCGTTCATCTTTCCTTTCATGTTGTTCTGGTCTTGAAGGTTTTAACAGTTGTTAGCATCTTTCTTTTGGCTTGTGTTTTGGGGTTCATGTTACGCTACTAATTTTGTTATAAAGTCAAACACATTTAAAAGTACCTCCAATTAGCTACACTTTGTTAAGCATATCATTTATGTATATGATTATCATGGAAGAAATGGAAAAGAAAATCAACTCATAAGCATCTAAGAGTGTCAATCTATTTTATTTAGAAAAACTAATGTTGTGAACTTGAGCTTTGAACGGGTCCTTCACCAGTTCTCCTAAAAGGAGTTTATATAGTTCTAGTTACTAGTTAAATGCAAAAGAATTACCAAACAATGTCAAAGTGAGGCTTATGGCTATCATATTTCAAGTTTTTATAAGGGAAAAGTATAGTTGTGACAAATCAAACAACATTGTTTTGCAAAATTAAGCATGTTTTGGACTGCACAGGGGAGTGATAGAGTATAAATGGGTATGTTGGGGAAGGCTATTAGGGTGCACTAGAGCATAATATGGTGCAGGGGCATTACATATGTGTGTATCATGTTTCTATTATGGATCATGGGAGTGAGCTACAATCAATCTGATTAGGGTCTGTCACAGCAAAGATGGGTTCACTTGTCACAAGGATGTAATGCTGCCCTTTCATAATATTGTTTGTTTTAAGTTGCACTAATGTTAAACATGAAATGCATTGCATAGTGTCCATAGGATGTTCCATGTATTCATACTCATCTAAACTCGTATTATTTTTGCAGCCATATAGATGCAACGAACGGTTTGTCCTGGCCCTCCATCCCCTCCCCCACTGCGGCACAGGCAGGTACAAGCAATACAACTCGTGCCGTTTCTGCAGCAGAAAACTCAGGCACCCAAACGAGTATCAGTTCTGCTCCATTGCTTGCAAGGTACTACATACACCTACGAGGGTAAATCTATAACTACCACTAATGTCACCATCAAACTCCTCACCACAACACTTGTATGTACGAAAAACCATGTGATGTGCACACTCTGTCTTTCCATGTAATTACACTCTCCTCCCTCAAAAAGAAAAAAAAATTGATAATAGCATCAATGCTAGCCATAAATATACTCCTCTCTTACAAGCTTTCTTTTTTGGCACCAAAATACGGTTTCAGATCAATGACGAAAAGCCAACAGCCAAAGAGTCAACAATCAAACCTCCTGCACCAGAAGATGATGCTGGAGCTGGTACTGGCCATAGTGACAAGAGGTCATCCCCAAGGAAAAGAAGCCGTAAAGGAGTCCCAATGAGGGCTCTACTCTTGAAGGACCAAGCCTGATTCATCTTCTCAAAACGTTGGGTTTATTTTGTGGATGGCTGTAGACAGCATTTTAAGCCCAATTTTCTTGAAAGTTCTGAACATTCATATGCATCTGCTAAGAAATCTGGAATAAGTTTGTAAAAGATATGGCTTTTGTTAACAATTATTAAACTTCTCTAGTAAAAACAAGTTGATGTGTATATACGTGCCAACAACAGGAACTATCATCCAGTGAGCAAAACCAGTGCTGCCGACCTGCTTCTGGTACTTCAGTTGGCCAAATTGAGTAGCAACATTTGAACCACATGAAAAGAGGTGGGACAGCCTCAGCATTGTCAGCATGTATGCTTGCAAACCTCACAGAGGTCGCACACCCCCATCCTCCACCCATTCTCGTCCCTGGGAGCACACTTGCAGTTCAAAACCCAATCTCCTTTCCACCTTCTTAGTCCAGGTTACTAGTTGTCAACAAATCAACTCAAGATCTCATACCCCAACTTGAGCATGAAAAATATTACATGTTGATCATCCAAACCTTCTAATTCCACAAACTCTCTCACCTTCAGCTCCTCCATAATGCAATATCCTTCCCCCATTGTCTTCTCAGCGGCTGTTTTCAGATTGCCAATTGTAGCATAAAGCAGCACCACCAACCGCCCCACCATCAAGTCGCTTCTCTTCTACAATCCCCTCTAGTTTCGAGTCTATTGTAACCAACTGAATGACTCAACATATGACTCGCAAAATCTCATAAGCATCATGATTATAATGCCACTCATACAATTTACTCCTTGATAATAGACCCACAGTTCTGAGAGACGAAGGGTCCTGCAGATCAAATTTCTCTAGAAAACAAAACCAGACGTAACCGGTAAATCCCACACAGAGTTAGGGTCTAGGGAGGGTAAGAGGTATGCAAACCTTACCTCTACCCTGAGGAGTAGAGAGGTTGTTCTCATGAGTAGCCCTACTTGCAGAACAACAAAAAAATTCTTGCACAAATAATTTGCTTTTGTTCGCAACCTTAAAAATATGCAGATCCCAAAGTGACGATGTACTAGAAGTTCCATAATGGAAAGAAACTATAATGAAAGAAACATAGGCAATTGAAAACAAAGGACTTAACACATCTACCAAATGGCACATGCCGAGTTGGGCAAATCGGAACATTAAATGATTTCACACAATTATAGTGTCAACTACCAAGAAACATTTGCACCAATGCAAGGTTCAAACTATATGATTCCTCCTCTCACTAGCTGGGAATCTTGACCAACGATATTAAAACTGGATAATAATGTTCTTATAACTAGTGATCTAGAAGAAGAGGTGTCCATGAAAGATCCTAAAAAATGAAAGATGGAAGAACTCCAATAAGGTTTGTAAGTTAAGAACATTGTTTTATGGACTCAAGCAATCACCAAGGGCATCGTTTGAAAAAATTCACCCGAGCAGTCGCGAAGTTTAATACAATTATATTTTGCACGATTTTATTAGTCTCAATGTGTCTAAACATAAATATGAATCATATGTTTATATACAAGAAATAAGAGAATCAATCCCTAAAATCTCTCTAGCTTCCTAATCCTATTAGTTTCCATGACATTCCCCCCTCAAGTTGTAGCATAGATATTGATCAAGCCCAACTTACAAATGTAGTCGATACAAGTACCATTTAATCCTTCTATAACAACGTCTTCTAACTGATCTTCTGTTCATACATATCATGTTGTAATGAGTCCTTTAATCATGTCAGAAATGAAGTAACATCCAATTTCGAAATGTTTACTTCATTCGTAGAGGATAGGATTTGAAGCAATATCAAGAGTTTTCTAATTATCACAGAAAAGCTTTGCTAGAAGTGCAAGCGTATAGCCAATTTTTTTCAGTAGTTAATGTATCCATAGCATCTCACATATGGAGTCAGCCATTGCCCTATACGATTCAGTCATGAAGCAAGACACCACATTTTGTTTCTTGCTTTACTATGAAACCAAATTTCCCCAACAAGTACACACTATCCTGAGGTGGATCTCATGTCATCCTTGCATCCACTATAATCTGCATCTGGAAAAACTTCGGTTAGAACAATGAAACATTCTACCATAGCATGACCACGGTGTTCATAAAACAATCCTTGTCCTGGACTCCTCCCAGGGAGCCTTTAAGATAGCAAATAATTTGTTCTAGAAGGACCCAACCGTAAAATGTTAGAGCAAACATAACATCACTACAAACACAATGTCGCATTACCATTTAATAGTTCAGCTTCCCAACAAGTTGCGTATACCTCTCAAGATCATGAATGGTCTCCCTATGATCCTTTCTTGGGTGTACAATGGAAGTCACTGGATGACCACATTGTTTAGCCCCCAATTTTTGTCTTTCCTTTAGAACATTTCCTTTCAAATAAGAAAATCCTTTGATCCTCATTATCCCTACTCCTAGGAAATATTTAAGTGGTCCCAAAATCCATTGTCCGAAAGTAGACTGATGAAATGTTTTAAGTATTCATATGCCTCACAAAACCATCAATGTGTACAAGTAGAATTACACCATTTTCAGATTGCATGTCGAACTCTCTATGATCAGACTTACACTTATACATTCCATATTTCAAAAGAACCTAACTAAATTTTCCAAACCATACTCGATGACTATACTTTTAGCCATATAACGAATTCTGAAGGCGACATACTTTCCATAACCCCCCAAGCATCAAACCTAGGTGGTTGCTCCATCTTGTTCGTGCTTAATTAGATGACCTCTCTTCAAAATACAAAAATAAGAAAGTAATAAATCAGTAAATGCTACAAATTACATGAAGGGATTATCATTCAACAACCACCTTAAATGAAAATAGTATCATTTGAAAGAGATCTAGACCTAGCTATCATCCATCTTCAAATCAAAACAAATTAATTGTAGAAGATCTCATTGTGACTCTTTTATATGAATATTAAGTTAAAATATATATTTAGTAGAAGCTAAACTAGATTACCTCCTTCCAGAAGCAAAAAGAAAAGTAATATTAAAAAAATGCTACAAATTACATAACGGGATTATCACATTACATAGCAATAATCTTAAATGAATATAATATCATGTGAAAGGGATATAGACCTATTTTTCAAAAGTTGAACTTGTCCCTATTTCATTTCATTTTGTTGTTGCTAGATATTAGTTTAGCAATATATAATTTATAGCACCAATTTATTAGGGAATCCAACAATGGACTAAGTTATGTAGCAACTATTATGCCTCATTGCAAAATAGTTTCTAGGATTCAAACTGAGTTTCAAAATTGAAAAGGTTTTCACAACGTGAATTGTGCACGACAATAATAGTAATAAGATTATACATATCCAAAAGAATAAATGCTTATAAAACCATCCATCCCATAAAATAATTAAAATAACTAATTATGAATTATTATTATTATTGGTAAACAATGTATTTAGACTATGCAATAGACAATTAGATACTATCACATAAGAATTAAGATGTACCCTCAACGATAAAAGAGAAAAATCAACCATGTTTTGATAGAAACAAATTAATTGTAGAAAAGTTTCTTGACAAATTTGTATGCATAATAAGAAGAAAAATATTGAATTTCCTTTTTTCCAAAAGCAAAACGAGAAAAAGAAAATCATTAGTGAAGGATAGAAATTATCGAAAAATTCATATTGTCAACAATGCATAATAATCATCATAACATTAAAGATATCATCTGAAAGGGGTATGAATCCATTGCTTAAAAGTCAGACTAGTCTTAAATCTGAATCATGTTTTGTAGTCACTAGATGTTATGTAAGAGCATCTCCAACAGATTCTCTAAAATTTCTCTAAAATAGAAAACCAAAAGTCAAATTGTTTAAAATACTCTATTTTAGAATTTCAACACCCATTATATTATTAAAATATTCTATACAATTAACATCCCCGTATACTCTTTAAAAATATAAAATAATAAATAATTCAATCTTATTGGTGGGTATGAAAACTAATTTCTCTATTCACACATCAAGTTTTAGAGAATTCTCTAAACTTGGAGGTTTCTCTAGTTTCTCTATTTTATAGAACAATATAGAGAATCTGTTGGAGTAAAATAGAGAGCAAAAGCTTCATTTTCTTTATTTTAGAGAATCTGTGGGAGATGCTCTAAGTAATTGCATTCATAGCCTCGACCTATCACGGAATCTAATGGAAGAAGAAATAATGTGACAACAAACACTAGGGTATTACTAACTCTATTTTTAAATAGCATTGATATTATTTATTGGATTCAAAATTTGAATTTCAAATTAAATAGATTTTCAATAGAAATTGTGTTCAACATTAATGGAAATACATTTACACAATTTCCAAATATAAAAATTAAAGCAATATTCCTTTATTCCATAAAAGTTGAAACAATTACTCCCTTCGTCCTAAAACAAAAGTCCACTTCCAAAAGTAAGTGCCTACTTTCCAATTGTACCCTTAATCGAGATAGAAAAATTCATTACCCCCTCTATTATTAAGGGTCAAATTGTCATTTAGTTAATTAAAAAAATGTAATAATTGCACATCTCTAAGACTATGTGCCTTTCATAGTGGACATTTATTTGGGATGGAGGAGTATCATTCTGCAATGTCCATGTCATTTGTGAAGTCTCTTCTTGGAAAATTTTGAAGCTACAATTACATATTTGCCAATTTTCAGCATTAAAAAATATTTATGATATTGATTTTTGTCCAGAAGAATCCTACTTTGTAGTACGAATGGGTGTACTAGTCTTTTTGTTAATGGTCTTTATTACAAAATATGCCTATTCAAATGATTCCGCTTTATGAAATTGAGAGAGTAAATGTTGGTTGCCTTTATCGGATTGAGGGAGTAAATGCTATAGCCAGGGTTGTCAACCAATAAACTTTTACAATTTAATCCTTGTAAGGAATCAGGCAAATAAGTCATGTCATAAGGTTGCCCCAAATAAGTCATTTCTCTTAACCCCTAGCTTTTTCCCATCCCTATCTCCATATAGCCAAAATCAGCTACCTCTTT